ATTTGAAAGTCAGACAATCGATGCGTTCCATTTGGACCGTGCTTACAGCATCGCGTAGAGGACTTGTACGTGCCCATTTACTTTTTCTGTAATTTGGCATTTCTTGAGCTATTTGACTCTCAACTGCCCCTACATTTTATTAAACACCCTTGATGTCTCTCTATCTGTCCGCCTGCCTGTCCGTCTTTCGCGAAAGTCGGTACTACAACCTGCAGAGCGAGGTTCAACTTTACCATAGTATGGGACAGGATGATGGAGCATGCATGCCAAGCGGAACCTCATTGCCTCTTCTTCCCAATCAGTTATTTAGGCAGTCTCATACCGAACGGAAAAATTCCGAATTTGATTTCGGAACGGCTCAGAGTTTAAAAAAAATGAGTTGTGTTGTGCACCGGGTTGAGAGGTCGAGTTAATGTTAAAGAAGTCTCAACTCTGTCATGGAAAGCTTTCAAAGCAGCGAAACAAGCTGTTCATAGCTCTGCCAGCTGTTCATAGCACCCTTCATATTTGAACCCCGAGGCTGCCCGATTTTGAGAATAGCGGGCAGAGGTTGGCGAAGGAACAAAGGCCATTTATACTTGGAGGATGGTATAGTAAGTGCACCAATGTGAGTGGAGGATAAAATTCGATTTCGAATTAAAGCTTTGAGATTACCCTAGTGTTGGTGTGCGAAGCCAAGTTGGTATTTGAATTTGATAAGGTGTAGCATTTTGATGTGTGTTCATGTTAAATTCAAAATTGTGATGTGATCACCTCTTCATTATTCGCCACAAGTCCAAAAAAAGTGAAACCTAAACTTCAAGCTGGCTCAACCGGAAGACTTATACCCTTCAAAATCATTCAGGTGAATTACCAGGCTTTTTAACACGTTGACGACATTGTGCAGCGCATGCGCATCACACCTTGAGCACCGTGTGGGACCGTGTGCAGCGCATGCGCTGCACACACAAATATTTATTTTTTCGCGCATGCGCTACTTCTTTTCTAATTTTTTGCATCTATTCTATAGACTACACCATAATATGACTAGACACGGCGAGGTTCATTGAATGGTTGAATATGCTCCTTTTTAGCGAAGGTTTTCTAAGCCCTACGAATTTCCCAATTGTGTTCATTCCTAGTTTCCTTTATATTCTGATAATCTTGGTCATAAAAAAGAGCAGTAGAAGTAAGTACAGACCCACACATATAGCAAGACATATGTTTTTAGTGGAGCAACCGCGTCAAAAATAATTTTGAGGTTCACTGCAGCAAAAGCAACTGAAACTTGCCTTTCATCGCCAGAAAACGTCAATTCGATCGATTTTTTACAGTTGTCCCTTCTGATAAGTTTGACACATCGAATATCATTCTAAACATTTTGTTGCATCCGAGTTTTGGGTATTTAAAGCTCAAAATTCACGGATTTGATGTGAGGCGGCGGCGCCTGCAAAATCGCCGTGGTCCCACGCGGCGCAAAAACCCAAAACGCGCGTTGTCGTCAACGTGTTAAGTTGTGAAACATATAGGCCATCAAAAAATTTATTACTGATATCCTTTCCTTCATTTCTGAGTTCCTTGGAGATGAAAGTGTACGGCAGTTGAGTCGAATTACAAACTCATTCCTTTTATAACATTTATCCCGGAGTGGATTCCAAGTGGGCGGGAAGTGGGTCTGCCTAGTTAAACAAAAGTGGCGCTACCACGCGAGCGGTCCGGGATCAAATCCTGGGTCGTGAGTCGCCCGGGCCAACCAAGCCTTCCATCCCTCCGGGGTCGGTTAATTGGTACCAGACTTGTCTGGGAGGATAAAAAACACTGACTTGAACATCGGCTGGCCCCCGCAAGTCATTGTATAGGCCACATCGCATTCAAACGCCACTACGAATGTACAAATGGAAGTAGAATGCGTGCCGCATCCCAAAAAGGGATTGATCAACGGCAAATGCTTTATCCTTTATCCTTTTGATTGCAAGTTTTCTTCTTTATTTCATTGTAGAATTTTGGAGTTCTAGAAATGAATCATCCACTGCTTTGTGTAAGCCGTTGAAATTGAAAATTTTCTTCAGAGAACCATTGCCTCATCTCATATTTTCCATTGTAGTACCCCTTCTGTTAATTTTCAACCGAGTACGCTTCATTGTGAGCAGTACCGTGCCTTAGCTGATTGTATCTATTTCCTTACACCCATTGCACTGTTAACGTTTTCAAGTTGTGACTGACTGAAACCTGGCCTTCAACAGTGCTAATGCTCGATTGATAGGCGGGCTTCGAAATATTTTCTTGTCATCTTTTTATTGAGTATTCAGCTTTGAAACGATGTGTTGAAACAACAGACACCAAAATGCTTTTGATAACTTTTGCAAGATGGTTTAAAGTGATTAAAAGTAGTTTCTGCGTTAGACTGTTATCGCATGAATGTGAAATTAGAGGGCCACGTATTGCAGTTGTGAAAAAAAAAACAGAAACCACTGTCAGGGCCCACTGAGAAATGGGTTGTTCGGATGGGTTCAAGCACTTTCGCCAATCCAACGACGGTGGAGGCAGTTACTGCTGATGGACGGGCTAGCAGTGCACTCGGAAAAAATCGAAATGAGAGCTGTAGCATTTTATTTCAAATTCATTGCCGTTATCATTCCCTTTACATGCGCAGCCCAGAGGGCAGGCGCATTGGGACTAGAGGTCGGTTTTTGAGGCGAATGCGGCACCTCAATCACGCGAGTGTGGCGCCCCCTTTCTGTTTCAAAAAGCGCTGCATGTCTATTTGTGCCCTCCCTTAACCGTCTTCACCTACCTGTTTTCTCCCAATGATTTATCTTTGGTTCGGCCCCTATGTCGGGTATGGTGGGGCGCGGAGTGTGTCTAGGGTTTGGTCACTGAACCTTCGGAAGATTTATTGATGGGATAGCAGGCACGAGCCGACCGCTCGGCTCCGACACACGAGATGAAATGACTGACATGAGTGAATTGGGCCGCCTTATATAGCGTCCAGACAAAGGGTCCCACAACGAACATGTGAAAACGGTATATAACATGTCATGACAAGTCAATGAGATTATTTGGTGAAGAGGTAATGCACTTCAAAGTGTAAGTGGAATGGTTAAGAACATGATCAAAATACTAACTTGAAAAAGGTAACAAATTAACTACGTCTACATGCCCGTCTTCCACGAAGAGTCGTCCCGACTCTTAATATCTCTTGCGTGACCCAGCACGGCGTGGGGAGTGCGATCTGCGACGTATCTTCTCGACTGGCGAACGGTGCTCTCTTGAAGAACTGGGGCGATCCTTGTCCAACGGCCTACGAAATGAAAGCGAACGATGGTGGCGGGTGCGATTGGGGTCCTCGATGACATAGAAGTTCGGCATCCTTTCTTCGCGGCGGCGTCGTCGTTTGGTGAGCTTTTCCTGGCGGCGGCGGTCTCTGAGTTCCGGAGATGCCATTTCAAATTCGTCCATCTTGATCAAGTCGTTGACCGTAAGGCGCAGCTTGTCCAGAAACAGTCTTATCTGGTAACCACCGAACTGGCACTTGGCGCGACGCGGGTGCGTACCCAGACATCCGGCAGGGTGGGTGTACGGCGCTCCTTCTAGGACATCACTATAGTGATCTCTCACGATAGCTTCGAATACGCGTTGTGGAGCTGTCATGTAGCGCACATATTCAGCGCATATTCTTCCCATGTGCGTCCACTCTGCATTATTATCATCTTCGTACGGACTCGGAAAGAAGGCTAGCGAGCCTCCGGGCTGCAAATGACGTTCGAGTGCGATGAGGACTTGGCGCATCTGACGACTTTCTGGTGTCGTGTCTGGCCACACAATGATAATGGACGTGACGATCGGCATAGAGATCAACTTATGGGCGAGCGCACTCCAGTCTGCATACACGTACGGCGTAATGTTATCCGCGTAATCAACGTCGGCATTCACTCTCCCAAAAGCGGGTGGCAATGCGATGAAGATCTCCGGCTCCTTGTTGACAGTAGTGCCGGGTATGCGCAGCTTCCCTTGAAGAGCAATTGCAGTTGTAAGGTGGGCTCCCAAGTCATATGGGACTGGCCACGGAAATACAGCTGGGTGTTCGAACCTCTGGCCTTTTGCATTCTCCACCGCTTCAGCATATGTGTGACAGCGACGACGGTGAGCGTCAACGGCCAGCGCCAATCCATAAGGCGTGATGTAACAGGAACTCTTTTTCCTCAGTTCCTCCTCCTTTCTCTCATCGCCCCAACAGGCTTGCTCAGCTATCGATGCGACGTTTGCAAGCTGGAACATGTCGTGGACTTTCTTGGATCTGGCCATCGGGTGCGTCAATCCCGGCAGCGCGACATGAGCCATTTGTCCGAACAATCCACATGGGCATCGGTGGCGTAAGTTCAGCGCGTTGTCGACACCGAGCAGAGTCCTGGAAACATATATCACATTACACGTTATTGGCAACTTGGATGGTGAGATATTTTTGCGGGGCCTGCCCCTTTTCCCCCGGCTCTTCCGCGTTTTGATTGGGTCATCCGGGATTCCCGCCTGGAAGTTTCCTCAGCGTATCGAAGGGCACTCTCACCGGTTCCTTATTTTGGCCAATCAACGTTACAAGGGCACTATTTTCACTTGTGCCTATTACTCTGTATGGACCTTCCCAAGGATTTGTCAACTTGGGGTTTGCTGACTGACGTTCACTGGGAATTTTTAGGTACACTCGATCACCAATGTTCAGCGGTGCCTCGCGCACTTTCTTCTCCCTATCATAGTAGGATTTCATTCTTTTTCGCATTTTGTCGTTCATTTCGACTGCGTAAGCCCTTGCTATCTGGGTTCCAACTGCCAGCTCTTGCACGTAGCTGTCCAGGTCCACCATGTACTTACTTACATGGGCCTCTGGGAGTGATCCCCAGGGCACGTACGCGTCGAATCCATGCAGTAAAAAGAATGGCGACTCCCCCGTTGACTCATGAACGGTGGTATTGTACGCGAAAACGCAGTAGGGCAAGATTTTATCCCATTCACTCGGAACTTGCACTTTTTTCCGCAACATTCTGATGATGGTCTGATTGAACCTCTCCGTTATTCCATTTTCACGGGGGTTGTACCCTTTTGTGAACACATGTTCCATTCCCAGGATTTTTCTTAATTCCTCCATCAGCTTGTTGTCAAACTCTCCTCCTTGATCGGAGAGTACACGCTTGGGTTGGCGGCATCCTTCTGCGATCCACTTTTCAAAGAATACTCTCGCGACTGTGTCTGCCGCTTTATTCGGAATCGCGTATGCTCCGCCATATTTTGAAAAGTGGTCGACTACGGCAAGTATGTACCGGTTGCCGCTGGTGGTTGGCCCCATTTCAAGTATGTCGATACCTACCACTTCAAAAGGCTTCGTCGTTAAGATAGGCTTGAGCGGTGGAGTCATGGCTGGCTGAGTGTTGTGGCACAAACATTCACGGCACTCTTCTGACCATTTGGCCACATCTCGGCTCAACGACTCCCAGAAGACTCTTTTGGACAACTGCCGTATTAGCTTTCTTGGCCCAAAATGCCCAGCTAATAGGCCAGCATGCGCCTCATCAAAGACCTTTTTCCGCTGTGATGGTGGGACTACCAGTCTGCGCTGCTCGTTCTCCATTAGAACGAGATTTCCATGATCTATGATAAAATCGGCGACTTTGAACTGACGGGCGACTCCCGGGAAAATCACGTCATTATCCAACCTTCCTTTTTCCAGGTCATTTATGAGTTTCCCATATACGGAGTGCTCTCGCAACTCTGCTGTCCATTCTGGTTCTTTCTGAACCGCTCCCACAATAAGCTCATTTGGCATGGGCTCTTCGATGGAGAGATCTTTCCAGGGGTATTGCTCCGCGACTTAAGGCATCTGCTACCTTGTTTGCGGCCTCCTTTCAAATAGATCATCTTCACATCGTACTTTTGTAGCTCTAAAGCCCAGCGAAGAATTCTGGCTGACACGTTGCTCCTTTTAAATAGAGCTGTCAAGTGCCTGATGGTCGGTAAAGACTTCAATGTGGAGACCATACACAAACATGTGGAATTTCCTGAGCGCGAAAACCACTGCGAGCGCTTCAAGATCTGTGACATGGTAATTTTTCTCGCATTTCGACAGACCTTTAGACGCGAAGAATATAGGATGAAGGAAACCGTCTTCTCCCTTCCTGGCTCAAAACTGCTCCTAGGCCTTCAGTGCTAGCATCCGTATGGATTTTGAACGGTTTTCTCCCACTCCTGGCAGATTCTATGTCTGGCTGTGCAAGTACGGGAGCTTCCGTTATGATCGCTTTCAACTTCTCGAATGCTTCCGTCGCAGAAGGCGTCCAGACAAAGGCCTTCTTTTCTGAAGTCATTTCATGCAGAGGTGCTGCAACTTTCGAGAAGCCCAGGACGAACTTGCGATAGTAGGAGCACATGCCTAGGAATGAGCGGAGATCTGCACGCGTCCGTGGAATTGGGTACTTCTTGATAGCCTCCACTTTTGCTGGATCCATGTGCAATCCTTCGCCGTCAATAACATGTCCGAGAAATTCCACTTTTTGTTCAGCTATAACGCACTTCCTCGGATTCAGTCTTAGTCCTGCTTTCCTCAGGGCTTTGAACACTTCCTCCATTACTTTCAGGTGCCGCTCAACAGAGTCTGTTGCTACCATTATGTCATCTAGGTAGCAGAACACCTCATCGCCTAGTAACGGTCCGAGAACTATGTGCATAAGCCGCTGGAATACGCTGGAGATGATGCCAGTCCGAATGGCAACACTCGAAATTGGATAAAGTCCTTCCGTAGTGGTAAACGCGGACTTCTCTTTAGCGTCTTGAGAAAGACTTATCTGCCAATACCCTGAAGAGAGATCTAGGGTAGAGAACCTTTTCTTGCCTTTCAAACTTTGCAAGATTGTATCAATGGTTGGCAGCGGGATAACTGTCCGTCTTCGTTACCTGGTTCACCTTCCGGTAGTCCACGCATAACCTTAAGCGTGCCGTCTTTTTTCTGGACCAATACAATAGGAGATGCCCAACTTAGAACTGCTGGGTTCAATCACCTTTCTCCCCTGCAAGTCGCCCAGTATCTGACGAAGTTCTACCCGGGTAGATAACGGTATCGGACGTGCCTTTTGTTTGATCGGTTTTGCATCACCAGTTTCGATCGAATGCTCGACTAGTGTAGTTTGGGTCAGTTCTTGTTCAGTGACAGCAAAAACATCACTGTAGCTCTTCACAAGGCTATCCATACCTTCTTCTTGCTTCACCACTTTTTCTTCTCGTACAATAGTCGCAGCAGTTTTCTTCCCGGTTTTTGATCACATCGGCCGTACGCTCGAGCATATCACCGTAACACTTCACGGGCTCTGCTTCGCGTATCTTGACCGGCTCATAGGTGCCTACCTCCTCCCCCTCCCGAAAAATTTTTGCTCCTGCAAAGTCGTTGGTAATGGGGATTTCCAGGGAGTGGCTTGCCTTGTGACAAATTATATTCGGTACTAAACTGCTTTTTGACCACAGGATCCCTTCCTTTCTGGTCTTAGCGCAGCGCACTGGAAGCATTTTTGTTTCGCCTGGCCGAAGGTATGTTCGCTTAGTGACTACCGCTTGTCCACTAGTTGGCGATTTCCTTCGTCTTGCGCGCATACTGCGCTTCTCTTTTGTGGTGACCTTACATTGTGTATCCTCGAGGTGTTGCTTGCGGGTATGACCAATACCCTTGGTAATAAGACTGACTCCAAGAGGTTTCAGAGCGTTAGTTCCCAAAACTAACGTATCGTCTCTTCCAGCCTTTACGAACAACGCAACCCGGCGTCTCTCGCCTTTCTCGAGTTCCAATGTCAATCTCACTGCTCCCTCGAACTGCATCTTGTTGCCTGAGGCATCAAAGATTGGTGCTGTATTCTCTAGCGGGAATTGCTCAACGTCCTCATCGAAATCGAAACCAGATGTTTGACCAGCTCGCAGCACTTCGAGTGGTATTATACTTATCTGTGATCCAGTATCTAGGAGCGCAGTCCGCGAGATTCCTAGTAATCTCACAGTAGTCGTCATCCGCTCCCCTACCAGATCTTCGCATCTCGATGGCGTTCCGTCCGCTACATATTTCTCTTTGTTCAGAGACGCAGTGAAAACACGTGGCCCATTTGAGGAGGCCTCATCAGTTGTTTTCGGGCATGTTTTCAGCTTAGCCCCAACGGATTTCTTGCAGTCTCGTGAAAAGTGTCCACACTCGTTGCATTTGAAACACTTTGGTACCCGTTTCTGAGCTCGGTTGTCCTTGCTCTGGGTAGCTGTGGGTGCAGAAGAGACATCCTGCTTTTGTCTGGACTGTGGACGATTTTTCTCTCCAGGTCCACGTTCTTCCGGGATAGAACGTTGTGACTTCGAGGCATCTAGGGTTTTCTTGGTTGCAATCGCAAGTGCTCTGCTACGCTCACATCTTTGCGCCATGCTTTTAACCATTTCGTATGCATGTTCTTTTGGCGCTAACTCCATGGTCGTGTACAGCTGAAGGTATTCTGGCCAGTTCGACAATTGTGCGACCAGTTCCGATGCTCTTGTGCGCGACAGCTCCTTTTCGGAAGCTTCGGGATAAGCTCTTTGCGTGATCTTCTCTAATTCGACGCAGTAGCTTGTCACGTCTTTTTCCATGCGCAACGTCTTCAGCTTCATATAGGCGTTCATTTGCGTGGAGGATTCGTTTTCTCTGAATTTGTCTTGCAGAGCCTCGACTATTGCCTTGAAACCTGCTACTTTGACCGATCTGGGTAGTGCCTCTGCCACTGACCGAGGAAAACCATCCAATTTTGAAAATAGTAAGTGCACAAGCATGTCATCGTCAAGTCCTAGCCCTTGGTATTTCAGTCTAAACTGAGCGAGAAAGTCCCCGAATTCTCTACCATTCGGGTCATTATACACTTTCACGTCGGGCAGGGTCAGCGCAGCAAACATTCGAGCCATTTCAAACCCTTGCATTGAACCCAACGGAGTTCTATTACACTCACCTTGGAGCATGACTTTCGGCACCGTCTCTTTCCAGAGGGACTCCTTCTGCCTCTGCGGCGGCTTGCTCCTCTTTTCTGGCTGAAATACCTCATTTAGACCGCTAGGCATCACTTGAACAAAGTCTTGCGTAGGATTCTGTCGACTACGCTGCTCACCTTGCGCAGCTGCGATAGGATCGAATGTGGCGTGATATTCCAAATTATCAAACTCAAACCGGTTGAGTTGCTCAATCACCGAGGCATTCGATGCTGCACTTGACGACGCTGTTGCCTGCTGTGGCACCTGAACAGACTCAGCTTGAACATGTGGTGGCACTACAGTGTTGGTTTCAGATTTTGCCGAGACTGCTTTTAGGAGTGCTGATACTTTTTCCACCACCTGTGTCGTGTCTACTTTGAGTAGTAGCGCTAATTGGCGCATACAGCTGTCGTCATATTCTGCTTGTGCTAGCAATTCGCTCACTGACACCGGGACTAGCTGATCTACTGACGCGCTTACAGAACGTAGGCGTTCACAGACAAAAGTCAGTTTATTCAACTCTCCTTCCAGAGCTTTGAGGTCATTGTCGAATTGAGTACTAAAAATTTCCTCTATTTCATGCCTTCTCTCTAAAGGCAGAGCTTGACTCACGCGGCCTATGATAGTTTTAGGCACGTCTCGGAATGTTTGTACTTTATCAAGCATAAGATCATGCGATATCCGTACCTGTAGAGCACTCTTATGTGCGATTTCCTTGACCGTGCCAACTAGAGTGTCAACCGACGCTTTAAGAGAAGCGATTTGGTCGGAAGCTGACGGCTCTTCCAACAACAGACGCTCAAGTTCAGCCACTCTGGAGTCTTCCATCGGTTCATCGATGTCGCTCATATCGATTCTGAAACTTGTCTGGTCACTCTAAGGCTCAAGTCTTTTGAGATTAATCAGACGAGCGGCAGTAACCCTATTGTGACAAGAACAGTTATGGCCGAGGAGTATTGTCGAAGCCTTAAGTCTGTTTGGATGCGTGACAGACGAGCGTTACGTAACAACGCGTAGGGCTGGCTGGGATCAATCGATACACAGTCGATCAATATCCTCGAGGTACCCCTCGAACAGCCGTCCACCACACTTTCAAGAAGCGAAGTGTTCGTGCTCAACGGCACCCACTTCCTTTCTTCCAAGTGAAGTGGAATCCACTGCCCTGTATCTACGGCAGGTTTCTCGCCCTCCGGTACTCCGGCTTTAGGCGGCTGCTCCACTGTCTTCCTTTGGTTCGGCCCCTATGTCGGGTATGGCGGGGCGCGGAGTGTGTCTAGGGTTTGGTCACTGAACCTTCGGAAGATTTATTGATGGGATAGCAGGCACGAGCCGACCGCTCGGCTCCGACACACGAGATGAAATGACTGACATGAGTGAATTGGGCCGCCTTATATAGCGTCCAGACAAAGGGTCCCACAACGAACATGTGAAAACGGTATATAACATGTCATGACAAGTCAATGAGATTATTTGGTGAAGAGGTAATGCACTTCAAAGTGTAAGTGGAATGGTTAAGAACATGATCAAAATACTAACTTGAAAAAGGTAACAAATTAACTACGTCTACATAAGCTAGAAAGCGGAACGAGTGGGGTTTCCCTGGCGCACGATCAGGGCTATAAAGTGAAAGAACGGTTTATCCGAGAGTCCTAGATTTTTCCTGAACTTCCGTAGCAGTGTAGGGTCGGGCATTGTCATGAAGATAGTAAACATGGTTGTGTATAATTACGCTTCCTTATGGGTATTTCAAATGCTGCGACGTAAGATTTATCTCAACCTTGATCGCTGTCGATGATGTCGTCATCTGTTGATCAGCCTCGGGTGGTTCAGTGGCCGATTTTCTGTGATCAGCGCATGAAACACACTGATAGTTGTTGGAATATCAGTCCAGATGTACCCGGTGGGCACAACCACGCAAGCAACAACCTCGAAACTGGGTAATTAAACATTATGCATGTATATTACACAAATTCGTAACGGAATCATCATTACGACAAAGACTATGGCGATAAAAAACAGGATTTTCACCGAAACAGCAACAATGTAAGGAAACGAAATTCAGTGATTTGCAATGATAGCATAACAAACAAGAGTTAGCTTAAACATAAAAAATTTTTAAAACGAGTTGCATTATATGTACTTTGAAGAAAGCGATTGCAGCGCAATTTATCCCTGGGTCAGATTTCGAAACCCCGCTCGAAACCATCGAAATCTACACCTCGATGAAAAGGTTCCATTCCCCCATTTCATAACCTTTCAAGCAGTATGGGTAGGGTAGTATACATAGACTCGTTACCAAAAGTATTGAAATTGCTCTGAAAGCCTTCCACTCTAGGGTCTCTCAAATTTCGTCGAGTAAATGTCGAGGACCCGAAATTTTCACGCGAGTTTTTGCCACTTCAAAGCAATATCTCTCTTATATTGTAAGATCCTGAAAAAGGGAAGATAGTTTTGGAAAGCGGAAGGTTTGCGCTTTCTGACAGTCTGTTTAACTTCTTTTCATAGCCCTAGTTGAGGAGATATTTGCGTCGAGGATCTATCGAGGACACCTCAAAAACCGCTCCCTTCTTCACCATTGTTAACCAATTCGTTGGCAACTCTCGAAATGAGTCTAGAATTACATTCTTCCAACGTAAGCGATAAATGATGCGGCAATCGTCATCGGATTTCGTCTCGTATAGGTCCGACCTTCACTCAAAGTTGCAGAATCGATTGAAAGGTGTTATATGATCATGACCAGTTGACAGAAGCTGCATTGTAGTAAACACATTTCGTAACTCCTATAACCTAAGGAACAGCTTCATTTGCCCAGGGCCTTTCCTTCACGGTTGTCGTTTTTGCGACAGCGTCCCTAACAACAGTGTCATTCTCAACGAGGTATTAAGGGAGAGGGAGCGGGCGGTAGATAGAGGAGGTGCCTTTGCAGCGCGTGTGCACATGTGGCCCCTTCCTTGCGGAGATGCACTTTCATTCTTTGTACTGCTTTCAAATACGCCCTTCTCATGAAGGTGGAGGAATGGAGTCG